CCTTATTCAGGTGGTTGGAATGTTGAACTGAACCCTTTATTTTACTCAATGGGGTAGACTGTTCTAGTTCCATGTGCCATGTTTAATGGATGTCAGTTATCATCTCCTGTTAATTCCTCTCTGAAAGTTCTCGACCGCCTTAACCGGATATTGAACTCACACTCTTTGGGTCCTGTCACTGGATTTAACCAACACCTTTATCCACTGTGCCATGTGTCCTTGACATTCCAACCACCTGAAGAAGGCCGGAGCGTACAACTGCCGAAATGTTGTAATAAATATGGCGACAAAGATGAGGGCAACAATCTGAATAATGTAAATAGAATTATTTTAGTTAAAAAAACAAATTAATAGTAAAATCAAGCAATAGAAGCAGAAACCATGAAAAGCTCATCATCCACAAAATTCCCAGCTGCAACAAATATCATCATCTGTAGCAGGGATCTCAAAAAAAAAAAAAACATTTGACTCCCAGGTATGTACAAAAAATACCAATTATAGTTACTAGAAAGACTGATGAAAATTCCAGTTTTCCTATTTTAATGAATTTTAATTCTTAAGTTAATGATTGAATAAGCTCATGACGCAATCTATGACAATAAAATATCTGTAGAAATTTACCTACTGCATCGTTAAATATTTGAGCTTAACGACTTTAACAAAATATTGCAAAAGCAATCATAAATATGAATACTGGCTGTTATTTTAAGATGTAAGGGGGTACAAATGAAAAGATTTGAAATTGACAACTTCGTCCATTTCACTGAAACAAACGTTAAACACTTGGATCTTTCTTTCTTTCTTACTGAAACCAAGTAGCATCTTTGATATGTTTTTCCATGCAATCAAAATGGAATAGTCCATTATTTATGAGGTATTGGCAGGAGACATTAAACATTTCTATAATCTCTTCTTTCTTTCTTTCTTCTTTTTTCTTTCATTTTGTCACTGAAACCAAGTAGCGCCTCTGATATGTCATTTTCATGTTTTTAGATGGTCAAAACAGAATAGTCTGTTATTTATGAAGTATTGGCAGTGCTTAATGGTCATGCAAACAGAATTATAATATAGACTTTGAGTTAAGGAAAAAATTCTTTTACCCTTTTCCTGTATTACTGTTTCTCACTATAACTCCTTTTAGCGTTACGTTTTGGTATTCTTATTTGTGATTTCTCTCCCTATACTACATCTGTTTGCACAAATGAGAAAAAAAACTGCATATTATAGGTAATAATAAATACATTAAAATAATTATATCTTTTTAATGAACTGGTCGACATCATTAATGGGAAAGATAACAAAGTCATTGATATTTGGTTAAAAATTGGTGAGCTTTAGTTGTAAGTCAATACACACTTCCAGGTTCAGTCTGTTTCATTGCTGAAGCCAGTTTCACAAAAGTCTGAACTTGGGAGCACAATTAAAAATAGTTCAACCACTGCACTCAGCTTGGGGCATTTAGTAGTACTATTTATATAACTTTAATCATCACTGAGGCTTTTAGGCTTACTGCCACATCACACTAAAACATTGCTTCCTGTACAATTTCCAAAGTTAAGCAATGCCAAGTCTGGTCAGTACCTAGATAGGTGACCACTTGGATGTGTGGGTGTTGTAATGGATAATGGCTCAGAATTATCAATCAGCAAGCTGAGTTTCAATTCTTGTTGGGTTCGTTATATTCACTTACACGCAAATAGCCATGGGAAAGGTATGAAGCCACCTCTTCTGCTCCTAGACATGGATCAATTAGTAAGACTTGTTTCACTAAAAACCATTATTATCTCTCCCCCAAATTTTTACAATCTAAACAATTTTTTTTTTTTTTTTTGCTTACAGTAAGGTTCATCCTTTACAAGTCCCGGGGGCCACTTAAAGTAGAGGGTTACATTAGGAGGCAATTTGTGCATATACGTTAAGACTGTAGTGATCAGGGAAACATCCTCTTGGGAGTCAGTTACATGGAGCAGTGGTCTGCGAGAAGAAGATATAAGAGTGGCATTTCTCACCGAATGGAATACGGGGGGAATGTGGATGGTTTGCTACTATGTAAGTGGCATAGCATGACCTGGCCATGAAGGTTTGAATTGGCGGGACCAGGGAATATAGTTCATCCAAGCACTTTCCATGGAAGAGACAATAGAGCAGAGATATTTTCTGGCTTTAAATAACCAGCAAAGGGTTGATAAGCCATAAAAAAAAAATCAGTCAATAAAACTTTCATATAAAATCAATTTGCAATACTTGATTTTTAATGATTGTTTGAGATATAATTTAATATTTTTAATTTCACTAACATCATCTATTTCAACTTTTCAACAACTTGGTCAAAGATTTAACAATTGAAATTTCTTAAGGGTTCATAGGGTTAATAAATATTAATAAATAGTCCTCTTTTTCTTCTTTTTAATTCTCACTACAGTTCGAAATTTTGAAACCATCCCCAGAATTAACATGGGGTGAAACCTTTCCATCCCCAAAATGAAAACTAGCTCTTACAGTCATTGAAAAAAGAATGAAATCAATTATCAAACTTATACTTTGAGAAAATTTTACCACGAATGCCAAAAATTTGTGCTGCAGTAATCAAGGCAAAAGGAGGTAATTTTGATGAAAGCAAAATTTAATCATAAAATGCGTTTTTCTTTTTATCATAACATTTCTAATAAAAACAATGTCTTACATTTTTTTAAGCATGTATAATAATTTTCTCTTATTTAAAGTACAACTACTTTTGGGCTAATCTAAAAAATTACCAGGGGTAGCCGCAAACTTTTGAACTGTAGTCTGTGTGTGTGTGTATATATATATATATATATATATATTCTCGACTCTCCTGTCGCATTCGACATATGAGGATCAAGCAGATCAGTTCCTAGGAACCAACAGCCAGACACCACCACACATGATTTGATTATAGTGGTGAAGGCTTTGTGCAGAACCAACCACACTTTTTGAAGGCTCAAATACAGAGACCTGGTGCACTACAAGGTCCCCAAACAACCCTCCACAGGTTTTGAATTCAAAGTTGTCCTTCTCCTAGACCAGTTGCCATCCAAAACTATAGAACCCAGTCTGTCCTGCTATTTACCCATAGCTGGAGGAAGAAGAGGATTCATACCTTTCCCATGGATATTAACACATAAGTGAATGCAATGGATTCAATTGGAATTCGAACTTGGGTCTCCAATTCCTCTATCCAAGCCACTAACCATTACTCCACCATGCTTCCTCTCACATATATATATATATATATATATATATTGGGTTCCAGACTGCTGTCAGTGAGGTTCAGTGTCTCTATTTGCTATTTCCAAATCTAATGGTGTAACAATCCAGTGATATTTGTGCTTTTTATCAATTATTATTATTTCTTAATTCATACGAAAGTCAGTTTTTGATCCAAAAAGGTTAATCAATCATCCAGTGTTTACTGACCTACTTTTTAACACTCCTATTAATCCTCAGGGGTCACTATCAACTACTTTGGGGCACCTCTGGTCTACAGAACTACCAACTGTGAAGACCTCACCACTAATATAATTTTCAGCTGCGACAAGTTTGCCATCCATAGAATCTCCAATTTCTAGAACCTTACCCACAAAATATTTATTATACAGTGATTTTGTTCATCTTGGTTGTTATCATGACAATGTTTCAGTTGTTGTAATCTCTGCACCCCCTTTTAGGCTTTCGTTATAGTTGGTAAGCTTCTAGGAATTTCAAATCAAATTTTTTTCTTCAATCTATGAAGGTAAGATTGTTCTTGTCTAACTGTCCATGCTAATGACATTTAATTCTATCTTGTTAATTCCAATTTGTGATATTGCTTGCTTGCTTCTGCTAGAGTATATGACTTATTTTGTACTACCTGACATAGGGATTGAACTCACAGTTACCAGGTAACTCACTTCACTTATACAATTCTTTTATCCATTTGACCATGTATCCTGTTTTGAGTATAAACATGAAGGTTGCATAATAATATAGGTTTTATTTGCAACATTGATAAAAAAACAGAAGTCTGGATATATAGATTCTTCTATTTGCAGTCTCCCTACAGGTCTTGGGCAATCATGACTCTCCACAATTTCCTGTCCTTTGTAGCTCATAGTAACATTTTTCTTTTTGCTATCTGTCACAATCCCTGTTCTGCCAACCATTTACAAAAAGCTCATTGGGTAGGTTATGTGCACTTTTCCTCTGTTCCTCTTGCTTTCAATATATCCTGTGAGTGTCAAATTTTCTAAGCCCTCTTTCCTCATTATGTACACAAAAAATTTCAACTCTCTCTTTCTGATGCTAAGTATAAGTGTCCTTTTTGTTTCCATTTTCTTTAAAACTTCATATATTGCACACAATTTCAGTCCATTGTATTCTCAGCATCCTTCTGTAGAACCATATTTCTGTTGCTTCAAGTCTCTTCCTTATCAGTCATGGCATTCTCTGCCATATAGGTGGACCAATATTATATAACAGCTCAATACTCTTTTCTTTAGAGATAAGGGGCAATAAATTTAATAGTAATACATTAAACCATTGGACAAGTCAGTAGTGAAAACTTAGAGCCTTAAATTTAATGTCACTTGTTTGCCTCTTCAACTGAAATCTAATATAAGCTGTTGTGTAATTGGATGATAGAAGTTTTGAGTCTTAGACCTAATATTCTTTCTATCTTAATTGAATGCACCCATATGGTGTTCATTTTTATGCTAGGCCTACTGATGAAGTTGTTAAAGTATAATATGTACTGATTCTTTTGTCTTAACTTACAGTTCCAGTATTGTTCTGTAACATACATTATGATATACAATGGCTGAAATATTGTAAAATAATGATAATCCCTCATTTTAAAAATTCAGCGAAACATTTTTAATTTTTCATTATTTAAAAATGTTAACTTGTTTGTATGGAGGGTGGGGTGGAGGTCATTCATTTTTTTATACTTACCATCCAAATTGGGAAATCTGTTGTTTTCTCACAATTCACTTGACATTTACTTTTTACTTTTGCCGTCAATGGACCAAAACGACTTTTCCTTGGAATAGCTACCTTTGTCCAAACTCCTAAGGAAGATACAGAGATTTGTATATAAGTTGTAGAAACAGTATTAGATATTCAAGATATTTTCCTCATTGCATATATTACATAAATAGAAATCCAAATTTACCTCATTCGAATAGCTATTCCTGCCAACAGGATTTGTTGACTTTGTCAACTCAGGAGTGTGAAGAAATAAATAGGAGCTTAAAAATTTAAGCATTTAAAAAATAACAGAAGAAGAAGAGAAAAAGAAAGAGAAAGAAGAACAGAAAAGAAGTGGGAGGTTGCTGATACAATCGACATTCAGTTAAACAAACTCCCAATACCATGGGAGGTGAAGTGGAAGTGTCTGATTCAAAGAGGCAGTTAAAATAACCTTGACCTATATTTTAAAATATTACCATCCCAAGTTATAACAGAATCACAAAATTAAAGACACAAGTTCAAACAATTTTAAAAATTAAAATAGAAAATAGTAAATATTAGTTCTAAATCAAAGAACAAAAAAAAAATATTTTCTCCTTTTTTAAGAAAAAAATTTTCAAATCTATGCTAGCAAAAAATAAGAAAAATAATAACCATAAATAAATAGTTTATATAAAGAAAAATAATTAAAATTTAAAAAGATTAATATATATATATATATATAAATATATATATATATATATATATATATATATATATATACATACATACATGTTTCATTAAATAATATAGACAAATGTTGTCTATTTTATGTAAATTCTTTTCATAACATCTGATAAGCTTAATAACATTATCATTAAACGAAGAAAAAAAATCACAATATTGATCCATATTTTTTAATCCAATCTAAGCTTTCGGCTTACATAAGCTATTATCAAAGATGTCAATTACTGTACAATATATTAAGCAATATACGGACAAGACAGTGATGATAGTCTGTGATTGTTTACATAGATGATTTCCTAGCAACGATAAACACGTGCATATAAGACGCTAGGAGCAAAAATCGCACCGCAGCTAATGACGTCACACATTACCACGCAAGAGTGAATTTGAGAAGTATTAAGTATGGAATGCCGTTGGTATAAACCAATGGCTTCTTTTACCAATTATAGACATTTAAGGATATTTGTAGAGATTCCATAGTTGAATATATATATATATATATATATATATATATATATATAATCACTTCATCCCAAGCAAGGCAATAATGCCACTAGGATGCAGGGGGTTACAGAGAGTGAAAGAGAATGAGAAGAATTTATGTGGAGAAGTGAGGAAAAGGGCAATAAAGGAACAGGATTCAGGAAGATGGTTATTGACACTGCATTTAAACTTTTGAATATTACAGGTGGCAGGAAAGCTAGAAATCAGAAGAGAGTTCCACAGGTAAGAAAAGAAACTAATAGAACAGACAGTTGCATCTAGCTAGTTCAACAGTAAATCAGTGTAACCTACTGGTCAATCTAGCAGCATGCTTAAATTCATGCAGTTGAGAGACTAAGGAGAGAAGCTCATCAGAACAGTTGTCATGAAAATATTTACAGAAAAGACAAAGGGAAGCCACATTACATCAGTGGGAAAGTGACTGAAATCAATGAGGATCAATTACATTATATGTTTTTCATTTGACAACAGCAAATATACAACAAAAGTAATTAAAAAAAAATTATATAACTTTGATGAAATACTAATAGTTCATCTAGATGGACTGCCTTCCTGGGCTATTGAGCTCTATCTACCTGAAGCAGCTGGTTTACGAGGCACCAGTGTTTTGCCTACATGGAATGAGTGTATATGCATGAGAAAATGATTGAAAATCTTTGAATGACCAAATAATTCAATGGTTTGCCAAATTTACTGACATGAATCAAACTGATAGATTAATAAGGAATAAATGCTAAGTGTGTAATGAGTGTGATGTGAGATGACCTTGCCAAACAAAGCAAGCTTGTTCAAGAGATTAAGTCAAAGGTCAGCAAATTTGTTTGCCACTGTGAGTCAGATCACATATTAATAGACAGTGAGCTAGATAAATTCCATAAAAACCTTAAAATATAATTAAAAACTTATCCAGTTTACTACATTGAGTGAAATTTTGTTTGAAATCAATGCCTGTAAGAAAATCCTTTGGACTTAACCAAGGATGATATTTAGTAATCAAAGAACTCAAGTTGTAGTTTATTTCTATGAGGATATCTTTAAAAATCTATTAAAAATTTTACAAATTGCATAGGCTGGCTCAAAATGGGAGGGGTTTGAACATCATGAGTTTGGAATCCTGGCAGTGATGAATTGTCTTTGTTTAAGTTTTGTTAAAAGAGTGAAAAACATTGTTGCAAGAATAGAAGGGTGAAAAAAATTTGCCGCTCCCTAATTCCTTAGTGAGACAGACCACCACATGGTGATGTGTAACTGGCCAACTTCTCCCTCTTGTTTCCTCCAAGAAACAATGCTATGACTACTGTTTGTCTCTGTTGAAATAAAGTGAGAAAAAATAAACCTAACAAAATTTTCCTATTGTACATTCTGTCTGTGATACTGAACTGGGACCTGAAAAAAAATTGCTGATAGATCATAAAAAAAACCAGAAACAACATGAAATGCAACAAATCCACAAAGAATATTTATAATCTATTGCTAAAAATGCTGGAAAAATGGTCAGTTCATATTGTACAGCTCCAATAAGTAACTGACTCCCCGATATCTTTACAAGAGCTAGATCAGGTCAAAAACGGAGTATTGCTGCCATATTTGGTTTGAAGCTGCCCAGTCCTCACTTACTTGTTTGGATAGAGTTCAAAAGCATCTACACGGCCGTGTGGGTGATGAATTATTATATTCAACCCTACAACTTCTTCCCCACATATTAAACATTGCAAGCCTCTCACTACTCTATCACCATTTCCATGGCATGTCATCTGATGAGCAACATACGTTAGTCCTATGAACCCTGATGCTTGTAAATGAGACCCACCTTATGACATACATCCTCATTCTCTTCATATTCCATTAGTAAGAAGTAAGTTCCATTCGGACAGCTTCTTTCCAAGACCTGCTGCTTTGTGGACCAAACTCCCAACAGGATGATTTTCCAATCTTGACCTCTTCAAGACTAGGGTTAATCATTATCTTTTCTTTATAAAATCTCATGAATTTCACTTCTTGCTTTTTCTTACACTAATACAGCACTACACAGTAACACACTACCTTGAGTGGCTATTGGGCCTTGTTTTTATGAAAATTGATAGGAAAATCAAGATAAAATATATAAACATGAGAAAATGTTGATTAAGTAAATAAACAAAGAAAATAATTTAAATAAATGCAAATAATTGATAATTCAATTCATAAACCATTGTTTAGTTTAGAATCAGGGTTCCCAACATGAAGGTCACTCCCCACATGGGGGCAATTTGATTTTTTTTTTGGGTGGGGAGCAATTCAAGAGATTTTTTCCAGTAAGTATGAGTGTGTGTGCAAGTTAATACAAACAGTGCATATACAGTATAAATACATAAAAAATATTTCTATGTATGTACATGCATAATTATATATATATGTGTGTGTATGTGTGTGCAAATATATAGAAAAATAGGAAAGAACATGTTAGGTAAATAATCTGTAGTTCTTCAGTATTTTTTTTTTTTAAAAAAAACAGTGCTCAATACAAAAGTAGAGCCTAAATTATAATTAATTTTTTAAAAACATGATTCCTTCGCTACATAAGAGTTCTCATGTTTCAAAAATGAGCCAAAAGCTCTGTTTCATCCTCAAGCAAAATTTTTTGGAATAACTAATCTTGAAACTTACGCATCTTTATATATATAGTACATATGTAAGAAATTCATTAAAAAATTATATATATATATATATAATTTTTTAAAGAATTTCTTAGTAATCTCTTCCATTCATTCTTTTATTTTTAATGGATGCCATTTTCTTTGAAAGCTTGTTTATACCAAATTAATGGCCTTTTAAGGCTTCCTCCACGTGAATTGGATTTCACTTTTTGAACAATAAGTATTATATGTCACAGGGGTGCATCAGGATTTTAGAGATGCTTAGATTGGGCCAAGGGCAAAAAACGGTTGGAAACCCCTGGTTTAAAACAAGGTGGGACTTGAGGCAAGTGTAAGACACCACTGTATGATCCATCAGTATGATCCATCAGTATGATCCAGTGAAACACTCAGAATAAGGGAAAAATGTTTGCAGGCTGGATAAGTATAGTCTCCTTGTACTTTCATATAATGTCTTCAAAACAGAACTACTATCCTTTAGTCATCGTAGAGAACCATTTTGTCCTCTATCATCATGGCTGATGCTAACCTCCAGGGGAGTAACTTATTGCACCTTCTTGGTTTCACTTTTTCTAGGTTAGATTCTCTTCAGAGCCATTTTTAAATTCATTTTATTGTTTAAGCATAATTCTTAACCCGTTTCTTTTTTCATTTTTTTTCTGAACCATTCAACCTATTCTCCTGAGAATTTTAGTAATTATTATCCAATGAAGTGGATCAATTATATTGAATCAATCACTTGGACTGCTGCTAAGAATGTTGGTTCAGGGTGTTGTATCAAACAATTTTTCTCATCATAATCCATCTTGTGCATTTATAAATCTACTTATTAATTTAAAGAAGCACCTGTAATGTTATCAGCCCCAACCTGGCACTCTCAACTTCAGTCACTTTCCCACCATCATCATGTGGCTTCCTTATATCTTTTCTATGAATTTTTTTATGGCAATTGTTCTGATGACGTTTCTTCTTTGGTACCTCGACTGCATGACTTTAAGTGTACTACTAGATTGGCAGTTAGGTCTCATAATTTTACTGTTGAAATTACTAATTGTAACCATAAGTTCTGTTCTAATAGTTTATTTTCTTGCACTTTTCACCTGTGGAAATTACTCCCAATTTCTTGCATCCTTGCCACCTACAATTTTCAAAATTTCCATATCCTGTTCTTTTATTGTCCTTTCTTCTTATTAACATCTTCTCATTCTCTCCCATTCCCACTAAACCCTTGCATCTTAGTGGCATTGTTACCTTGTTTGGGGTGAGATGATTTAAAATGGAAAAAAAAGGGTTGGTCAAAATGCCTTTGTGGGCCACACTTGATTCACAGGCCTTTGGTTGCCTATCCCTTAATTAAGTGGTTAAATTGCCAATTTCACTTTATAGACAGCTTAAGGGACAAAGAGAAAGATGGCCATGACCAAAAATGCAAAAATATTTGCACCAAACAAATTTCACAAAAGAAAACTATGGAGTAGAAATATCTGAAAAATAAAATCTGAAGCCAAGATAGAAAATATTTACCTAACTCCTCATTGTATCCTTGAGCAGATGTGTTTTTCAAATAAAGCAAAGAGGGAAGACTTATACGTGCACGTGTTATTATTGGAGAGTCAGAAATTTCACTGAAGTCGTTGTTATGAATTTGGCAAGGTTCTTTCAGTTGAGCATTGCAATCAAGACAAACTGAAATAAAAAAAAAAGAGTATATATAAAAGTAGATTAATTCGACCAAAGTTTTCTTCTTGAAATATGTGCCTAAGCTTTTTTTAAGTACATCAGAAACTATTTAGTATTTTCATAGAGTTTGACTCACTAACAATTATAAAAAAATTAAACAAACAAGTAAAAGATCTAATAATAGTAATGTTAATGGTAATATTAGCCATTTCCTCATAAGGAAACATCCAGAATTCATTGACCAAGCAACCAGTGTTAGTAGAAGGACACTTTTTTTCCCTTCTAGGCTATCAGGCTGGGATCAAAGTGTAGTATGTGTTCACCTATTTCTCATGGTAATGGTAATATTAGCCATTTCCTTATAAGGAAACATATGGTATTCACTGACAAAACAGCCAGTGCCACTTGAGTTACACTTTTCTTCCCTCATTGGCCATTAAGCAAGGATCAAAGTGTAGTATCTGTTCTCCTCATCTCTAATGTTAACATCCAGAATTCATTGACCAAGCAACCAGTGTTACTTCGATTGTAATTTATAAAATATTTCTATTAATACAATTTTTCACGAAAATAGGTTTCTCAAGTCCACTGTTATTGCTTTCTCCAATATTAATGGGGCTTCCCTTCTAACTTTTTGTTTCAAATAGTGTGGAATTTTAACATCTTGATTATACCATTATTTTTCCTTCAAATTACATGTGCTATCCATTTTAGTTGTTGCTGCTGTTAAAAGTTCTCAAGTGATCAGGTTTCTGCTATTTGATACAGTTCTTTGGAATTCTTTATTGCCAGTCCAAAAATTCTAAATAAGGATGGTCCATGCTAAGAGCTACAGGCTTTATTCACTCAAAACCATTTTAAATCATTGACCTGATGAAGCAGTTGTGCACAACTGACAGTTTAGATATTTCAGAATGAGTTTGGTGCCATGCATGTCATTTATATGAAAGTCAAGATCAAACAAGGTTATTTAAGAGCATGACTCAAGTTTTCAGGTTGATGTTTTGGTCTTGTAGCAATGTGTGGTGTTGGGCGAAACTATTTCTCATGCAGTGTATACTTTGTTCAATTTCATTTTCAACAATACTAAATTTGTTATAATTGATCCAGACACCAAAGTATTTCAAGGGTTTAGTATTTATTACTTCCACATCCTGAATTTTTATGATTATTTCAGGGTACATGCCATCACTGCTTTCATTTGCAGATGATAAATAGGAGTAGATAAGTTCACCTATCACACTCTTTCCTGGTCTTTTAAAAAGGAGTAGAGGTTTATGCCTTGTTTCCTGTTTAGGATTGGGTTTCCAGTTCTTTTTAAAGTCTACTTCAGCTCTATACTCCTAACACTTGTACTTTCCTATGCTTATACAAATCCATATAATAACCCTCTACCTTGAGTGGCTCCTAGAACTTGTATCGGGTGAACATTAGTTTTAAAAAAAAAAAAAGATAGTTTCTGATGTTGGATGATTTATCATGATTCCTATTTCTTGGTACATTTTTTTTAATCAAATTCACCCCATGCAAGTCAGTAAAGCCACTAAGGCAAAAGGGGTTACTGGATAGGAAAGAATTAGAAAATAGAAAACATTATGAAGGAGCTGGAAGGAAAAGTGATCAGGAAGACAATAGATAACAATTGACATTGCATTTAAATTCAGGAGGTGGTAGCACCTGTTAAGGTTCCAGTTATGGGCAAATATTTAACCCCCAAACTGGGATCAAAACACTATGAAAGTGTAAAAATAGGTTTTAATACATTTTTTGACGGAAAAATTATTATCAGTAATACATTTTTAGAAAAAATATTACGAGCAACAAAAATGTTGTCGGCATTAAATAACACATTGAGGTTGATATGCCATAAACCAAACCAAACAAAACCCTGCATAAAATTATTATATACCATTATTAATGTCTATCTCTTTTATATTATTTATTATAGTCCCCGTCGTAAACATAATATATGAACAGCATATATGTATCCTCTACTCAAATGAGTCTCTCAATGATATGCAAATCTGCCATGTACTGATCCTGTACACTAATCAGTGAAGGCAGTTTCACACTGATGCCATATAGGCATCACTAAATACATTCCCTATGATAGTTATAATTTAAAATAATATAAGAGGTTGAAACCTTTATTATAATAAGCAAGGTTTTTCCAACAAAATGCTGTGTGTGTATAGTAAATTACAAATATAAAATTAAACAAAAATTATTCAAAAATTCATTAGCCTATTTATCACTGTTTGTTGCAGAACCCCTAGTGACACCTTGCAGGAGCCTAGGGTTCCAGGAAACAATGGTTGAGAAACAATGCTGCAGATACACTAACTGATAATGACATTGTTTCTTACTTTCCAAATTTATGGCAACTGCTTTGACCAGATTTTTTTCTTAATGCCCCAACTACAGTGTGCTACTAGATTGGCATCTAGGTCCCACCTGTTTACTGTTGAAATAGCTAAAATGTAACAACCATTTCTACTTCAACAGTCTCTTTTCTTGAACTCCCCACCTGTGGAACCTCCTTCCATTTACTTGCTTTCCTGATAAATACAATGTTCAAAAATTTAAATGCAACATCAATCGCCATCTTCTGTCTTCTTGAATCCCATTCATCTTTTATCCTTTCCACAATCGCCCCTTTTCTTTTACTTTCACTCCCTGTGACTCCCTATATACTAGTAGCATTTCCACCTTACTTAGGGTGCAATGATTTAAAGAAAAAAAAGACAAGGACAAAAATAGCTAGATAAAGATCTGCTCTTTCTAGTAAAGTATAGATGGCAACCCTAGCTACTGAACACATGTTCAAACATGTTTCTATCTCGACTAGAAGTGATGCCAAGTTGTAAGAGATCTTATCAATCCTCATATTTCACATCAACAAAGATTTAATTTGTACAATTTTTTAAGAGAAGTGAAACTGTTGTGGTAAACCCTGCTACAGTAGAATGAACTCTTCCTCCTCTCATAAATATTAACTGCAATGAGTCGGATGGGAAGCGTAGATGCAGTGTTAACCTACCATTCGGATGTACACCTCTATCTGCTTATTGCTCTCACTTGTTTTGTATATATCTGTTATTTCAATACACTTGTTTCAACCTACCTTCATCTTCTGTTTCTTTCTTTCTGGCCCCTAAACAGGCCACAACAGAAACAGATCATGATAATTGCAGAAGCAATAAAAGGCAGAAAAGTGACATCACATAGCTTTGACTTGAAAAGATATGTCAAAAAAATGTTAACTTTTTTCTCTGTGAATAAATGCAATAAATTCACTGAATAATGAAAGCAGGCAGAGAAATTTTAACTGAAAACTTTAAAAATACAAACTTCAATGTCATAAATTGAAAGAAAATGTTACGACTTACAATGTTCCAAAGCAATTTCAGGAGTTTTAGTAGACACAGCAGCAGAGTTATCTCCCTCTATTTGGACATTGGCCAGCTCTTCACATTCTGGACTTTTGACATGGTTGCTGATGTTATTGTTCTCAGCATGCTGAACTTTGAGGATCATATCAATCACTGAAGAAAAAGGAAATCAACAAAGATATAAACAACTGATAACCTTTCAGTATTACACCGTACAAGGCAGTAAAGCCACTAAGACACAACGGTTAACAGGTTGAGGAAGAATTAGAAAACAGAAATATTAATGATAAGCAGAAAGAGTAATCAGGAGGACAGCAAAGTGCTGCATGTTTTTAGGCTAACATTCTTAGCTGACATGAATCAGAAAGATTATATTGCATCAATTACTAGCTCTGCTGCTAGGAAAGTTGGTTCACTGTGTCATGCTAGACAATTATTCTTGTCAGAATCTATCTTACATATTTATAAGACTACCATTTATTCATGCCTTGAATATTGCTGCCATATTGGATACAAAGAAGAATCTGCAATTTTATTGATCCTAACCTCACATCTCGCCTTCAGTCACTTTCCCACCACTGTAACAAAGCTTTCTTGTGTCTTTTCTATGTTTTCATGGCAATTATTCAGATGAACTTTCCTCTATGGCACCCAGACTTTATGAATTTAAGTCTAGTACTAGATTGGTGGTAATGTTTCATCATTTTACAGCTAAAATGGCTGCTAGATGTAACTAAGTTCTATGCTAACAGTTTCTTCTCTGATGTAGCAATATAAGTCAGCTAAGGTCTTGTTAAATTGAAAACAGCTGAACCTGTCACAAATTTGGAACATTTATTTTCAATTGATGGTTATAAGTATCATATTATAAGTATCATAAAGTGAGGTTCACAAGTGACCCAGACAAAGAGAAATCACTGAATGAAGATGGACAACGACAACAGGACAAAGACCCATACTAGCTATAAAACTGACCTGTGCCATGAAAAGACACAGAGAGATAAAGCAGGCTTCGGAAAACAGATAGATAAGACACCCATTAAGACTGTTCACTTCCCCTACCACACATCTACACCTCATCTCAACTTCATCTGTTTATAGCAGTAGGTTACAACCCAAGAATAAAATTTGGTTTACTGTGAGAAATTGTTTTGTTTTTCACTTGTAGGTAATGATCTGGCCAAAAGGATTATTTTTAATCTACAAGTGTTTGATTGGAAGAAGCTGCATTCTGTCAATGAACTTGGTGTTTGGTTTGAACTGCAATGCAACACTCGCACTTCTTGCTTGTGGAACTCTCTTTTGGCCTCTTGCTTTCCAGTCAACTTTGATCTTCAAAAATTGAAATGCAATGTCAATTGTTATCTTCTGTCTTCTTAATTCCTGTTCTTTTATTGTTCTCTCTCTTTAATAATGTTTTCTTTTTCTCATATTCTCTCACACTCAGTAACCCCCTTGTGTCTTAGTGGCTTTATTACCTTGTTTTGGGTAAAATGATTAAAAGAAAAATCTTATTTTTGTTGTTTGTTATTCCAACACTCTGAGATGATACACTTTTCATTATTACTATTATTTTATTATTAGTTACTAGTTTTATTCCATCTTATTTTTGATGATTTTTATTGTAAACTTCTCAGTTGATATTACAGTATTGTTGTGTTAGGTCTAAGTACCGATAAATGCTTCAATAAACAGATACTCTAACTTCACACAGAAGACCTGTAAGATATTTTTAGCAACTTGGTGGTAAGAAAAATGGAAGGTGTCATATATGGAATTCATTAAAATAAGCCTAGATTCCTTGTGTTATTGGTATTTTTGTTTTGAAACTTCTTTAATGATCAATTATTATTTATTCCGTAAATATACTGAAGCCTATCAATAGATAAAAACATTTCTATTGTACATAGGGTAGGTTGATTTTTGAATCATGGTATTAAACTCTATTTGCAAGTTAGGGTTTGACATGATGAATAATGACACAAAATATTATTTTCAATTCCTAACTGGTTTTTTTTTTGAGGAAACACGTTTAAAGATTTAGTTTCAAAATTGTAGACTCAGAATTTAATTCCAGTGATTAGTGAAAGCCTTATAGCACAGCCTTAGAAAATTTATAATTGAAATATACGAAGTTGGTTTGAAATTAAAAGGAATAATAAATTCCATAACTAACAACTGTATTTCTTCAACATGATCCAGAGAATAAAGCAGTGGTCGACCAAAATACAGAATGTCGCATTAAAAATATTCCAGCACAACGCATCTGTCTTGCTTCCAGAAATATTTTCTGAATGCTGAAGTCAAATGAATTAGAGATGAGTGATGAGGCTATAAAAATTTTGTCAGATAAATGAAACTTTTATTCATACTTAATTAGTTATATCAATTTACAGGACTAATTTTAAAATTTAATTCAAATTATATCACAAAAATATAACCATGGATGAGAAAATATTTTTGTTTTGGAAGAGATTAAAAAAATGACACTATTTACATTATTTGGATTATTGTCCTTATCTTTGCCACCATATTTATCACAACGTTTCGGCCATTGTACACTCCAGCCTTCTTCAGGTAGTTGGAATGTTAAACTGAACCATTTATTTCACTCGCCAGGGTAGACTGTTCTAGTTCCACATGCCATGTCTAAAGGGTTCAGTTTGACATTCTAACCTCTTGAAGAAGGCCAGAAATAAATTATAATGTTCTGAAAAAAAACAAATATAGTCTGAATAATGTAAATAGTGTACATAATATCTCATCACAGAAATATAGACAGATACTAAAAGAAATGACATTCAACAACTCTGAACTGACACACTGGTCAAATTTCATTAACCTCTCACAAAATGGGGTTTATGAATCTGCACTTGCAAAAGGTTATTCAAATAATGAACTGCAAGAGGTTCTAATACAGTGGTCCACACACTTTTTTGGCTTGTGAGATATTTTTTAAATAACCAAGTCAAAATGATCTACATACAATAAAAATGCTAAACATATCTTTATATATACAATACATGTTTGTGTACCTTGCATAACAGCATGAACCTGTATGGTAGAATACAATTCTGTACATTTTTGGCCATTACCTTACTCTGATGATTTGCACCATAAGGAATCAGCCAGGGTTGCATAGTCTGGACAGTAGTTGCTGGTAGCCATACTCAAACAGACTTTCAAATGGTGGAACAGTATTTGCACTTAATAATCTTCAAGTGGAAAAAGGTTGAACGAAATAATGCAGTCAAGAAAATAGCACATTTCCTTAGGTTTTTGTAGTTTTTCTCAGTGAGCAAATTCCAGAACAGTCCATGAGCCCTGGACTTCAGATCAATGTCAGCCTGTAGCATTAAAATTTCCAGAAGTGTTCAGATAAAACATTGTTGCAATTTTTGATGCAAGTTAATCTTTTTGAAATGGGTTGCACATAAATGTAGCTGCTGGTTTAAGTAAAGCAAAGTCTTGAAAGCCTCTGTCAAACTCTGACAGACAATTGTCAGTCTGCTATGTGTAGCACTCACAGTAAAGTTGCGCACAGTTGCGCACATAGCTTCTGTTGTGTCGCAAACTCTGATGCGAGATTTTTAAAGTTTCCCAAATCATGGTGCTGCAGCTTTGAGGACAGATGTTTCATTTTTCATTTGAATGTATTAACTGAGCTGATCATTTTGACCACAGTTTTGTCTTTTCCTTGTAATTCTAAATTAAAACACATTCGACATGTCGGACAGATCAGTTAAAAATGTCAAGTCTAGCAGCCACTGAACGTCATTTAGTTGGTTGCATTCTGCATATTTAGCAATAAGTAGAAACTACTTTATCTCCAGACAAAGCTCTTGAAATATGTAGGAATTCCCCGCCCCCACTAAGCCATCTCACATCAATGTGGATCAACAACTCAGAGTGATCACAGTCCGCCTTCTCTAGATGCACACAAAACAGCCGTCCTTGAAGAGATTTGGCCCAAATAGAACAAGCAATCTTCATTGCCACATCCATTAACCTTTTCATGTTTAGCATTTTTATGCATAATGCTTGTTGGTGTATTATACAGTGGTATGGGCATGTGACCGAGTGATTAGAACGTTCACATTCTGACCTTGAGACCCGGGTTCAAATCTCACCATGGTTGATTTGTCAGGAAGGAGACTTCCTGATGTTATCGAACTGGAGGGGTCAACCCCAGTGTGTGGCACCTTTGGAAAGTGCCTGAAAAGCATGCCCCAAGTTGACCCAAGCCTTGTGAGTGAAAGTGGGTAGACGGAACCTTTGGGGACCGTCGACAGCTGAAGTCACAAATCATCGTGGCCGAGGGCTTGAGCGTGCTGGCCTTGTTCAAATTGTTGATCACACTAGATAACACACTCTTTCCCAGAAACTGTAACTAAGGTCTGCTCAGCATAGTTGCAGTATAAACCACAGGTGGGTTCTGTGGGTGTTGAACAAACACAAATATGCCTGAGCAAGTGTCTGCAATAGGGATTGGATAGCCACCCTAGTAGGCATGTATCCTCGAATATGAGTGGCTAGCTATACATACATCTATACATACATACATTATACAGTGGAATTAATTATAAATCAAATTTTCGGGATCAGCATCAGGAAATATATACATCTGGCAATAAATCCATTCAAGTAGCCAACCATTGAGGGAGCACTATCCATGATGATTGACACCAATTTGCCCACTGGGAGATTTCTTTTTTCTTTTTTAAAAAAATTTTTCCTTTTAATTAAAAAATGTCCTTTCCCTGTATGTGTCCTTTCATGGGTAGTATTGTTAACAGCTTTTCTTTTGCAGCCATATCTGTAAACACCATCCAAATAAAAATGTACAACTGAACACATATCACTTACATTTGTAGACTAATCCAGTTGCAATGAGAAATACTCACAGTCTGTGATGTCCTTCCAAAGCTGCAGTTTCAAATCCTTGGCCACTTTACATCACAGCAGGATATTTAACTTTATTTTCTTGATATGAGATTCTTTGACTGAAGAAAATATCTTTTTTTTTTTTTTTTTAAAGTCTATGAAACAACAAATGAATAGCTATTTCAATGAATGATTCTTTTTGATTTTCCATCTTTTAAAAAGAACTTCTTGTCCTTAATGATGGTGTGACTCACACTGAAAGATTGTTT